TTGAAAATCTGGGCCATGCCATTATCTTGGGATTCTTCTCCTTCCTGTATGCCTATGATTCGTAAGTTTGCTCTTTTTATGGTGTCACACAATTCCTGCTTATTCCAATCTTGTGATTTCTTAAATTTTTCATAATCTTTGCTTGAGTAGCCTAGTTCATCTACTTTGTCTTCCAGTCTTGATACTCTGTTTTCCATTTCGTTCATTCTATTGGTGAGGCTTTCTCCTGTCGTTTCTAATTGGCTTACTGAGTGTTTCACTTCCTTCTTCATTTCAGCCTGAGTATTCTTCAATATTTTTAACTCTTTTCTGGATTCACTCAGAAGTTTATCCTTATCTCCCTTCAATTCTTTCATTTCTTTGTGTGTTCTTTAAATTCACTGAATTCTTTTATCATGTTTATAATTGTTCTTTTGAGTTCCATGTCCTGCATTATCTCTAGGGGGTTCTCATTGTACTCCTCTAGAGGACTATTGGTATTTGGTGGTGATATGTTATTTTGGTTTTTTCATGTTATTGTTTTTTCTCTGTGATTTTAACAATGTGAATTGTGAATTTCTTTTGTAGTTTCTGATTCTTGTGTGAGACTCAGGTCTTCAAGTTTAGGTCTGCTTCTTTTTGTGAATTTTATGTGTTTTTGTGGTTTACTTTTTGGGCATGAAAATCTGGTTCATCTAAGCTTCCGTTTCTCTCTTGATTTTATATTGGAGTGGCCGGATTGCTTTTGTCTTCAGGAGTTCCCACAGAGGCCCAATTCAGATAAGGGTCAGATGTTTCAGACTTTCTCCTAAGGTCTGGATCCCTCTAGGAACGATTTTGACTTCAGCAATTTGGGGGTTGGACTGGCCTGGGAGCCTGGCCCAGGAAAGATGCTGGTCTAGGGCAGCTGGTTGCAGTGCCACCCAGAGATGCAAAGGCAGATGGGGTGAGAAGAGGCGCCAAGGACTCCTGGGGACTGTACTGAGGAGCTGGGTTGGTCTGGATGCAAAGGATCAGGAAGAGAAAATGTTAGCTCCCGCATCCCAGAAAGATGCTGGAGGGTGGTACAGGCCCAGGGAACCAGAGGGAGTTGAGGGCCAGGCCCAGAAGCAGTGCTCCTGGGGCCCAGAGAAGGCACTACGTTGGTCTAGATGAAAAGGATCAGGAAGCAGTATTGGTTCCTCAGGTGTCTGGGGCTCCAAGACAAGGAATGGGGCAGGGCCCAAACTCAGAGGAGAGATGGGAGGGTGAATGGGGCTGGGGGAGTCAAGGTGCAGAGGGCGCGATGGACTTACCTGGGAGAGAGGCCTGCGGGTAGGAGAGAGGCCTATGGGTAGGAGAGAGGCTTGCGGCGGGTCTTTCAAGCCCAGGGAAGCAGTCTAATTTTTATTTTATTATTATTGTGTGTATGTGTATGATGCACATGTGTGAGTTCAGGCATGTGTGTGCCATGGTATGCATTTAGAGGTCAGAGGACAACTTTTGTCAGTTGGTCTTCTTCAATATAGGATGATTCTTATGTCATACTCACATTTTGTGTAATGTGTCACATTAGCCTTCTTTTAAAAATTTTTCTCTGCATTTCAGTTCATTATGTATTGGGACTAAAAACATCTATGAATTTTCAAATATCAGTTAGCTTGTTTGTTTTCTGTATTGCAACTTTAGAATACAGCTTTGTGGATAGTGCTACCCATAATATATACAGTATCAATGAAACTGGTTCCTTTGAAACCCACAGCTGGGTTACTTTTCATACCTTTCATAGTCCTAGACTACTAAACATTTTTCCTTTGTTAATATTTTGTTTATTATTTTCATTTTGTATATGAGTATTTTACCTATATAATGTGATAGGTAACCTGGAACTGGAGTTACAGATGGTTGTTAGATAGTTGTTACAGATGATTACTGGTGGATGCTGGGAATGGAACCTGGGCCCTCTGCAAGAGTAGTCGGTGCTCTTTACTGTGGAGACATCTCTTCAGCCCCATAATAAACATTTTTTAATGCTAAATATCATGGCACATCGGGCCTCTTTCTCTATATTACACACTTGTATTTCTATCTTACTTTACGTAACCCTTTGTTTCCTTTGCTTTTCAGATTTAGCCTTAATTGAGAGTAAGAGGTAGGCTGAAGAGCCTGTTTGTATAAATTCTAATCCATGTGCCCTCTGACTAAATGACTAAGTGGGTGGAAGCAAGCACATGCATTGTGCCAGTGTGTGCATAAAAGCTGTCACATGTAAGGCAAGAAGTGGGGTGACATAAAGCAAGTCACAAGTTGTCAGGACTCTAAATTGAAGTTTTGTTTTTATCAAGGCCCTAGAAAACCATAGCTACATGAAGTCATGACCCTTAACCTCCACCTCTCCCACAGACTGAAGGGAGGAATCAGATGCTTATTGCAGTCAGACAACCATATTTTGTTTTTTATGCTCCCTGCCTCCAATCTAGTCCACTCTGGGAGATCCCTCTGCTGTGATTGAAGGTGAGAGAGGTCCTTGTGTGTAAGATCATGTCTATATGATCTTCCTACCCACACAGCCCCCAAACTGGAACCTCCTAGGATTTAGCACAAGGCTTAATAAATGGTCTCAATAAATGTATACAGAATGAATGAAGGCCTCTCTGGGAAAAGCTACAGCTTCCACACATAACAACACTGTACTCAGTACTGAGGAAAAGGCATACAACTGATGTAAGAAAAATATTTCTTGTTTATACTGCTGCAACTTGGTCTTTGGCTGATCTAAGCACAAAGAGAACTCTTTCAGTTCATAGAAAGGAGTTTTATGGTGTGTGGGAGAGCTAAGAACAATGGACTTAATTGATAAAATGAGACGCTCTCAGCTTCTGAGAGCATGGAAACTCCATGTATAGATCCATCCCAGAGGGCAGAACCAAATAAGGGCAGATAGAAAACATAGCTTTCTTGGGAACTGACTTTCGCTCCTCTGAGGCAAAAATGCATTCACTGTAGTACCCTGAGTCAATACTCCAAAATGGGATACTGTGCCCTTATTTGACAGTGTCTAAAAATAAATCCTTGTCATATTTTTTATTCTTTTTATTTTAAAGTCATTTATCCATACTCACTTGCAGAATATTAATTGTGGTGCAGCAGAAATCAGGAGCCTGCAATTGAACTAGTGTTGAACAAAGCTCCTTAACTTGTAACAACATCTGAACAGAGCTCCTTAACTGATAACAAACATGTCACCTCCAGCTAGTCTCCCTTTTCTCTCATTATATTTCTTATCAACCACAACCATAACACAATAAATCTATAGTTCATTTTAAGTTAGCTTTCTTTAAGCTAGTCATCAGAGTTCTGCCCATGCTGTCAGGTGGGCTAGTGGGCTAAGCTATTCAGGGTATTATTTTAATCCTGAATTGCCACAGCATATTTGATTTATACTGCTTTTGCTATATCTTCTTTGCTCTATAAACATTAAACTTCAGACTTACCTAGTACTTTTCAAGTGAAATTGTGTATGTTATGCATAAAGCACCAAGGTATCTTTATTTGAATATCCAAACAATTTAGAGTAAAAGTACAATAATCCTAGACACAGTAGAGTCTGGGACATCACTGTGACATTGATCAAGTAACCATACTGACTCAGTGTGGGCAGAACAATCGGAAACCCAAGAGAAAATAAATCTTTAAATATGAAATGAAGTGGTATCAAGACTTGAGTTCTAATCCAATTTCAGACATATATTTACTGGGTTTCTTTGGGAAACATGTTTTCTATTTCTTTGTGTCTCCAACGGAAAAAAAAAAACCAAGAAGTGACGAGTGTGAGAGAATAACTTTTATGGCCTGAAAAATAAATGAGCTCTTCAAATGACTTGTAATTCTTATGCTCCTATTGGTGAGATCAAAGAGAATAATTCACTCAAAGGGCACAATGTTTGATTGAGAACATTCTTAATTTTATTTTCTTTAATTTTATAAAATACATTTTGTAAGATGAGTTTCTAAAAGTTTATTCTTTATGTTGTTAAAATGAAATTTCTATATCAGAAATGAAGGAAACACTTGCAGTTGATTAACTCTCTTTGTATGTGTACATGTGTGTATGTATGTGAGGTTTACAGAGGGTTGGTTATTTGTTATATTATTAAATCAAAACAAAGTATAATGTATAAGGATTACTTCACTTTCCTTGATCTTGATTGGTTTCCTACAGATCCTTTTCTCTTTCATCATTCTGTGCAGCCTGGTCTTTATCTTGTATACTGGTCCAAAAACAAGTATCAAGTGTCTCTTTGTAAAAATCTTATATCTCCTTAGAATATAAGAAGAATCTTATATCTCCTGAACCAGTTTAGGGGATAAGGACAACCTAATTCTGTAGCAAAACATTTAGAATAAACTTTCCTTCTAAAAAAACATTCAGGGTTTTTTTAAGCCACAGTTAACAAATACAGGATAAGTCTGAAATCTGGGAGTCCTTCAGGTTTCAAATTATTTCTGTCTGTCCTTTTCCATGGAAGCTTACCAACTGAATAGCTGACAACTGGTACAATCCATTATGTGACTATATATACCAAAATACAATAAGCACTATGTTAAGCCTAGCTCTCAAAATGCCAAGATAACATCAGTAAGCAAAATCATCTCTCATTTGCTAGAAAAGATGAGACAGGGTATTCAGATTGAGGTTGAAATCTACCAAACCTATTTCTACAAACTGCAAAATACTTGTAGAAATTCCCAATAAATTCCTGGAACTAGACTATTTAAAATTCTTTTGGTGATGCTTGTTGTCCTGTTTTCCTTTTTGAAAAAATAACTATAATCAAAAATTATTCTATAGATCTTTCACAATCGACTCCAAATGAGAGATCTATGAACTGGAAAATGTGAAACATGAATCATGCTGAAACAAATCAAGATCTTTGAATCATCTTCTATGAGTAAATAAATGAAACCTCAGGAAAAGAGCACCATTGTGAAGATACACCAGAGGCCAGAGGATACAACTAATTGACGGAAAAAAGACATGTTATCCAGAGTTAACTATCTTGCATCTACCGGAGGGCCATCTGGAGTTACACCTTTAGCCAGCTTCCAGGAACTGCTGCATTTCATGTAAGCTACTTTCCTTCTATTCCCAGCTCCTTGGAAACCACAGGTTGTCATGGTAGCTGTTATCAAGGAGAAGGGAGTGAGAAGATTGACAACGCCCTGCTTCTCTTCCTAAATGAGGTGTAAGGCCAGATGCCCCCTTCATCTACACAGACAGCTCCCTTATGCTATAAGTAAAGTTGGCTGAGTTAGGGCTTAAATAGTCAATTGCCATTGGGGTCAGTGCTCTCTTTCTAAGGGTGAAAGATCCTTGCTTTGACCCCTTTCTCCCAGCTGCAATAGGCAGATTTGGGCAAATGCTCATTGCTTTGCTAGCACTCATCATTTTTTTCTACCTTCAGTGGTAATTGGAAGACAAGAATAAGATCTCTGTTTTGTACGTCAAGAATATATTTGGCCCTTATTGATGGCAAGGAACCAAGGACATTCCTGCTCTCTACCTGAGAATCTTTCTTTGCACTTTGTTTTCATCTATGGAAATGCCCTTTGAAAAAAAACATATCCTGGTTCTCAGGAAATGCTTGCAAACTGAATTAGAGCCCCCATTCCTCTGTGACTAGCAGTTGGGGAATCACCTACTCAGGCATTTCCCATTTCTAGCAGGAATCAGCTGTGGAGTAAAATGACTAAAAGAGGTACATTAGAGAGTCCATGAAGAGACATTAATCACTTCAAGACTCTCCTGTCTAGTTATATTCATCAAGTAAGAAGAGCGCCAATCAGTGGCAAAGGCAGAGTTAAGATGGGAGACGCAGCACTGTAGGCTTTGTGGTTAGAGCCTTGCTATTAGAGAAAAGGGGATTTCTATAGGAGATCAGAACTTGGTGCCTCGGCCCATGAGTTTAAGGACAGCGAAGTTGTAAGTGGCAGCAATCATGAAGGTGAGCTGTAGGGAAAAGAAGAAAAAAGTAAGTGACATTAGATAAAGAAGCTCTCTCCTCAAAACCTTTTGAGAATGAGGAAGGGCAGAAATAAACTAACTGAATAAAGAGAAATATCTTGTTCTGTAAAGAATAAAAATATATAAAACACATCACAGGTTTTCTTTCTATATATTTTAATAGAATTTCCCTATTAGATACTTCCATTTTATATCCCCTTCCCAAATAGGTGAATCAACAAAGATGTATTCCACATTGAGCGCCTGCTTAGCACTGACCTTTTCTTTGGGAAATTAGCTATTCTGTGCTCTGCCACATCCGCATGTCAGAATGACTTGGCATTATAAGGTCTTTGCTGTAGACACATAGCTACTTTATGCAGCAAAGCCCTCCTGTGCTTTATGCATCATTTCACAAAGTGAGAAATTAGGTGGCTTTTTATGAAAGCCTCAGCAATACTTGGGAGGATTCTGTGGGGTTTATCCTTGTAGTTAACTGCTATCTCAGTGACTTCAGGTAAATCACTGTGCCTTGGGCTTTACTTCCGCACAATGAGCACACTGCATTGGCACTGCACTAGAATGCTATCAGCCGGACCTGGGTCAGAGGATTGCAGTACAGTCATAGCAACAATTCAAATGTGAAGAAGTCACACCAGTGTTTCCATGAGAGTAACTAAATCCACTGGAGCTGTTTAAGATGGATTTATGTTTGAAGAATATAGACTCCTGGGCTACAAATCATATTTGGTGATATTTCAGTGTTCTTGTTGGTGACCTGACCGTGCTCTGTTGAGAGTTAAGTATAATTTATGACTGAAAAGCACTTGACATTATTACATACTCAGCAAACTCTCAGTATTATTACTTATAACTATGAATCTCTTGCCTCGTCATTCCTCATTCCACTTTTGTTTCCGCCTGATTTGTGAAGTCTTTGTGCCTTGCCAACCCAAAGCAGAAGTATACAGTCCTTCACCTTGCTGTCTCTTCTCACAGCTTCTCCGCAGCATGCAAGGGTAGAAGGAGTCTATATTCTAGTCTTTCAGCCTAACTATACCCAAGCTGCCTCAGGACCATTTATTTGCTAATAGTATCTAAAGACAACTTACCAGGGAAACCAGTGTAGCTGCAGCCCCCACAAATGCAGCAATAAACAGGTGGAAGGTCATTTGGAACTGTGTGAAAATGTAAAGGGGAGAATTATTTCTTGGAACAGCCAAAATCATGATCTGCTGCAAATAGTGAATGCAGTTTTCTGAATGGGTCGATACCTTTCCTGTATGTTAATTCTGCATCTCTAACTAAATTTTCATTTCCCTAAGTGTTGACCTCCCATTTGCCAATGTATACCATAGCACCTAGAACCACAGCATCCAGACGACTCATAAAAGAATTTAATACTCCAAAATGATTAATTTCCTAAAGTTGTGTCCAGGGTCACAAATTTTAAAGTCAACGTTTTGTTTCCACAGAAATGATTTTCCTGACTTCCTAGCTGGGATTTACTTTTATTCCCTTGCCTCATTTGCATATATCTTTTCTCAATAAAGTGTTTTCTTTTTTCAAATGTACTTATTTTACCTCTCACTACAGATTCAAAAGTTCCTAATCCAAAGTGTTTTACAGAGCCCGTGTGTGTCTCTGTGCATGGCCCATTCTCTTGACAGGTTTTTTAACTAAAAGAATGAAAATTTTTCATTTGAGAAATTTTACTACTAAACATTATCTTTACCTAAAGCTACAGATTTTTTTAAGGAGGAGAGTTTTGGAAGGTAAGTCTTTTTATGTAGCTCTGGGGAAAATATATGCTTTACCATCTATGCTATTGATTCAGGCACACATAGCCATTTTTTTGTAGAAGGGAAATCTACTGATTTAAAGTCCTACAAGGAGATACTATAATCCTTAAAATTGAAAGTCATGAGTAGAAACTACTATTATTAGTATAAATTTTTATGTTATTAGTCACTCTACTTCAAAAATCACTCACCTCAGCTGTTTTGCAGATGGACAGAAGGTTGGAGCCACAAACCTTGCCAGGGAAAGCATTCCATGGGAGAACCCCTAAGATGCAAAGATCAACCATTGTAAACTTTATGGGGTTAGAGGACCAAGTAGTCTCCACCGCCCCCCACACCCAAGAACCTCTCTTTTCTATCCTGTGAACTGGATCTCAGCAACAATCATCATTCTATTTTCCAAAAACATACTTTTAAAAACAAAAGTGGTACTGAAAAAAAATGTGAAGTCTTGTGGTACTGAAATGTACTGCTTGGGGCTGGGAATAGCAGTCGACCAGAAAAAGCAGTAAGAGCAGCCAGTAAAATTCCCATTACTTCCATGTTCCCCTCCCAGGACAAGAACTATCTTCAGCTTCTGTGGGAAGGGATTAACAAAGTAAGATGATGCAGTCATTCATCATCTTATGTTTCCCATAACCACTGCTCTCTTTACCCTAAGACAAAAACAAGTACAAATTGCTTCTAAAGTTCATGGGAAATCTAAGTTACCCACATTTGGCTTACCATACATTCTGGCATCAGCACAGAGAGTGCCTATACTAGCAGAGGTCTTGCTTGGGGTGGCAATAGACTGGCAGGTGGTCCAGGTATTGAAGTAAATGTACACAGGCACAGCAGAGCAGGCAAACACCAGGAGCCATACAACAGTCAGGGCATAGGTGATGCCCACAAACTAAAAATGTTGACATGGAATAGTTAAAAATCAGCACCATTCTGCAGACCTTGAAACACAAACTGGAAGATCCTGGAGTGGCATATGCCAATGAAACCTGATTTCAGGCATCTCAAATGAAATTAGTGAGCAGGGCACCTCTGCCAAGTGTCATTAACAGTATCTCTTATAGAACTGGCTCAAGTGTGATGGAGGGTAGGGGGAATGGGTAGGGGTTGGAGTGAGGAGGATCCCTGGGTTAGAGAGGCTTCAGAGGATTGGAGGGTGAGATAAGGTATAAAGAAATTTTAAAAGTCTTGAAAGAAAGTTGTGCCATTTTGTGCCTTAGGCTGAGCTTACAAGATGTTCTTTCTCACATAATTTTTGTTCCCTATTTATTGAACAAAGCCAATAGAAGATTTAAACTTCAGGTATAAAACCATTCTAAGCTAACTGCTGGTCACAAAAAGACATCACCACAACCCACACATGTTCAGACCCCAAAAGATCTTTAACTCTAGACACTGAAAACCACTGGGTGTCTTTCTAAGAGTACGGATTGCCCAAACTTAAACATTAAATATGTAGATCTAGTCTAATTCTCTCTGGGAGCCCCAATAGTGTAGGATCCCAGAATATTGCACCTTGGAGTCAATTATTTAATTTCTATGATCTGTCCTCCCTTTCAGATTAGGCGTCTACATCTCAGTCCCACGACTAGCATTTTAGATTCCTGTGTAGTCCAATCCACTCTGTGGTCCTTGCCAGGAAGCGAATAAAGGGATACCAACAGATGGGTTAGAAATGGTCTTATTGTACAAAGCATCCTACAGAATTTATGTTTTTCAGGTTGAGATGAAATTTTCTAGGGAACCTTTGAAAGGCGAGGCTAAGCCGGCCAGGCACCACGTTCTTCCTGAAGGTCATTCGGCTGTAGCCATCACTTCCTCACTCAAAAGCCAGGCCTTTAGGGAGGACCTGACCTTGGGTGGGGATGAGGCCACAGACTCCCGCCCAATTGTCCCCCACCCCTTGTTATTGCCACAAAATCCTGAGGATGATCACCTTGTCGGGATGTCCTAGCCATTTTCCCAAACAATGACACACCCGCTCCAAAGAATGAGCTTGATGTTGGCCTCTGGAACCCCTCCCCTTCTGGCCCCCTGTTACCGTTGCGCTCAGGCCCTTGCCGCAGATGGTTGTCTTGTAGTCGCCAAAGATCTGCCTGACTGCACCGGTGGTGTAGAAGCCCTCAGCCAGCAGGAGGGCCCCATAAAGGAAGAAGAAAGAGGCAGTTCCATAGATGACATACTGGAAGGCATGGATCCTGCATTGAGAGAAAAATCCAGAAAAGTAATTCATTGAGGATGCAGCTTTCTCTTCATAGTGAATGAGATACACACCTGACTGGGCAGCTTAACAAGGTGAGAAGTTCTTGAGAGGACTCATTAGGCTTCTCCTGCATTTTTACACCTCACCTTCACTGAAGTAAAGAACTCAAGGAGCAGGTGGCCAGGAGAACATGCTCCTCCCCCTATTCCTTGTTACCCTGCATCCTAGGGAACCAGACCTGCCTCTCCTTGTCTGATCCTTCAAAATTTCTACACAGTAGGAGAGAGATGCTAGACAAACAAGTTGTGTGAAGGAATTGTGTCTTGGTTTGCTCTAGGAACAGGAGAAACATTACTAGGCCTGAGCACATATAAATAGTATGTCAAACCAAGGCCAGAGACTCGACTCTATCCAGTCATTATACCCCCACCTGCCATTGTGGTGGCAATTCAAGTAACTTTAAATATACCAAGCAGAAGTTAAAGTATTGTGAAAAACATGAATGGCTGTGAGAGGGAAGGGTGAGAGGGGGCAGGCAAGCTTCCTCTTTCTGAATCTGATACTGTCTCTTCATTTAGGGGTTCCAACATAACACAGGTGGAATCTGTACACAGAAATGTCTCAGGAATCATATCTGGGTTCCACACTGATTTCACTACTAGTCACTAAAGTACTGATGAGTTTTGTACCTTCAAGAGAGAATGGGGAAAAGGAGATGGGTCTGGAAGGGGGAAAGTACTTACACATTGATGAGATACTCATAATCCTGGTAGTTTTTGGAGAAATAGGTCTCAATTAGCTTTTCTGTGCCAGTGAGTGCTTCATGTCCACAGCCACAGAAGAGTGCCACTCCAAAGAAACACAATCCAGTGGCCACCAGGGAAGCAAAGGGGGCCCCTACCAGACATCTTGCACAGCACTCTAATAAGCCTGTGGAAGAAAGAGGTGGGGGAAGTCAGTTATATACAATAGATAACTCATTGGCCCATACCACTCTACTGGACCAAGCAGGACATGCTACCAGCACAGAGAATGGTCACCTTGGAGTTCAGAAAAAGGAGAATCTAGAGCTTTTAGCTTTTGGAATATGAGATGTATTCAGGATCCTTATTTTGTTTCATGTTTGTAAATGAACCCTTACCTTTAATTCCCAAAACACATGAGCTTTAAAAAAAGAACCAAATAATTCCAGTAGCAAACCAGGGAGATTGTGAGATCAGTCTCTCTCTCAATTGTTTTAATTATTCATCGACTATGGAATAAATGTGCTAAGTGTTGTGCATGGGATATGAAAAACAGAAAGGATATAAACTTTGCCACATTGGAGTCTTAGTTTACTGAGAAAGAATTAATGAAGTAGATGCAGTATTTTCAACTAACAATTCTAGGCAGCCAAGTAAATGAATATGGAGAGTAAACGCACTTCGAATTTCAGGAGGGATGACTGCTCACCAAATATGGTCGTAGAATCAGACACAATTTAAACTGAAGGAATGTTCCAAATGGAGGATATAATGGAAATTGCATGCTTCTGGATACTCCTGGAATGATGTATATGTGTTGCAAGTAATAATGAATTCTGCTTAGTCTAGATATGTGGGAGCAATCCAAAGGCAGGATGGAAATTAGATCCGAGAAGAAGTGATAATAGGGAGATTGCTATCACACACAATAGTAAAATGCAGATTTGGGGCTGGAGAGATGGCTCAGCAGTTAATAGCACTTGCTGTTCTTCCAGATGATCAAAGTTAGGGTCCCAGCACCCATGTCAGGAGGCTCACAACTGCCTGTAATTCCAGCTCCAGAGGATCCAATGCCCTCTTCTGGCCTCTGCAGGCACCTATATACACAGCTCACGTACACACACACATACACACACACACACACACAAACACAAACAATATTTTTTTTTATTTCAAAAAGACGCAAGCTTCATGATTTTTAATGCTTTGTATGGCTTCCCTTGCCACTGCAACTTGGCTGGTTTTTTTTAACCCTCAGTCCTACACTGAGATTGTGTCAATACAACTAAAAAAAGACTTTATATAAAGGAAAAAAAGCATGAAACAGTTTTTTGGCATGGAGAAAATATACAGGGCCTGGGAACAGAGTTGTTTTAAAATGCCAAGACTGTCTGAAATCCCCAGACCTGGTACCCCTCAGCCGTATGCCAGTGTTACCAAGAAGCAAGAAGATATGTAAGTAGACACAGACTCTAGAAGCAGCTATATTTCAAGTTCTAGTGTTATATGGAATGAAACATATCAAATGTCAAGTAGATGACTGACTAGATGAATGAACAAGTGGCTCCTTCTGACATCTTGACCAGATCTGTGAAAGGTGGAAAAATGAAAATGTTAAGATCTCTAAATAAAAATCCTTAGTTTTATGTATATGCCTATGTAGCTATATCAATCAGTTTGTGTATATATTTTAATATATGCATATACATGCATATAAATATATAATGTATGCACATATGTACATTAGTTACAGGCTTCCCAGATAGCATGGTTACTACTAAGGCAGTCTCATGCTGGGGAAGCACAGACCCCACAGTGGCCTTGCCAGACTCTTCTTAGGACTACGTTAAGACCTTTCCTCCTGCTCTGTGCTGGATAGCTTTAGTGTCAACTTGACACACCTGGGTTGAGGGAGCCTCAATCGGGGAATTGCCTCTATTGGACTGGCCTGTGGCCATGTCTGAGGGGCATCTTCTTGATGAGGGATGTGGGAGGGCCAAGCCCACTGTGGGTGGTGCTGCCCCTGGGCAGGTGGGCCTGTGTTGCATAAGAAAGCAGGCTGAGCAGGAGCCGAGGGAGCAAGCCTGTAAGCAGTGTTCCTCCATGGCGTGTGCTCCAGCTCCTGCCTCCAGGTTCCTGCCCTGAGTTCCTACCTTGGGCTCCCTGATGAACTGCGACCTGGGAGATGTAAGAAAAATAAACCATTTCCTCCCCAAGTTGGTACTGGTCAGAGTGTTTTGTCACAGCAATGAAGAACAAACTAAGACAGATAGATAGACAGATAAATAGATAGATAGATAAATGATAGGTAGATATCCAGTAAATGTGTGTGGAAAGGCGCTAGTTTTAGATAAGCATGTTGTGACCCATATCTCCTTATGGAATGAAAATAAACTTTACTAATTTCTAAGTTTTGGATATTTATACTCATGTATTTCTTCAAGCCAAGCTCATTTAACTATAATAGGGTACCAGGAAATAAAGGTCCTTTGACTGATCCTTATAATACTGACACAATTTCATTTTAGCTCTGAATGCTTAAATATTGGTGATTTCTATGGCTAACTTGCATTAATGTGAATAGTCGTTGAAAGACCGAATTATTTATAACATGGAAAAGTTGGAATAGAAGCATTTTTTCTTACTTATCAGAACCATAAAATAAGTGAGCCCTATTGCCCACCATCCACTGAAATGACAATCCTTCTCTAGCCTTCAAAGAGAATCTTCTTCAAAGATTCTTGTACATTAAACCAGAGATGAGTTTCACAAGCTCAAGTCAAAGTGTATAACAAACATTTGCAGCAGAATGGAGTCCCTTTGGTTTTCCATGAGCTGAAGTACCTCTGTTACAGAACTTTGTCTCAAAGAGGAGCAGTCAGTTTGTAGACCTATTAATATGAGCCGAGTTCACTCAGCATGAACTTTGTAAGAGTGGATTCTCAGAGCTGGGGTATTGCATGTGTGTTTGCACACTTGCACAAATATGTACAATACATGCATTTGTACACTAGAGAAAAAACAAAACAGCCGAAATTGATCACTGTACTTTGCAAACTTTCCAGAAATTGATCTTCCTCAATAGGTTAAGATACTATGTAGATCTTGTAGATCAAAAAGGGACTTGGAAGGAAACAGCACTACCGTTTCTTCTCTGCCCTTCCAAATCTTCCCCACCCTCACTCTTAGAATCTTCTAGTAAAGAAGGACTCTGAAGCCTGAGGGTGGGGGAGGGCAGGTCAGAGACCCCACTGTTCCCTCCCTCTCCCTGGCAAGGGTCAAGCCCTGAACACAGCCCTCCATAACTCCCCCACACAAAGAAGTCTTGTTTTCTCATAATATTTCAGGAGCCTCATTGGTATTCCACAGGGCCCGGCAGGCCTGGGGGTGGTGAGGGGTAAGACCCAGTAAACAATGGCAGGACTGTTTATTTAGCTTGGGGTAAGGAGCACCATCTACTCTAGCAAGTGGTCATCTTGGGTTCACTCACTCATCCCATCCTGGAATAGTCTAAATGGTGCAGGTATGATGGGGGACTTGAACTCTTGCCATCTAAACAGTGATATCTACACAAAGATTTAGCTGATGCTCCCTCTGCATCATATGCATTAAAGATGATATTTTTTCATCTCATTATTAACTGATGAAGTGCACAAATGATAATTCATCATCCTTGACGCATGCTCACTTAATAATCATTATTTTCAATGGGAGACAAAGCCTTAGGAGCAACTAAAAAATCAGAATTTGATAATTTATTTTTTACATCTATTTTTCTGTATTTTCTTGGATCTCAGATAACTTAGCACCCCTATTTCTGTTCCCCTGATGCTCAGAGCAAGAACTAAGAAGGATAGACTTCAATGTGTCTCTAATGTGGAATCCAAACCAAATGCCATTAGAGAAATCTATTACTGTTGAGCTATAAACAATTCAACAATATCAACTCAAACATCAGATATTGAGCTTTTCATAATTCATATGAAATCTTTGTTCTAAGGGCATTTAAGTTTGGCAGAAGTTAAGAATCTCAGTCAGTCTCAAAAATAAAAATCAAAATTTGAATTACAACTAGGAAAAACTCAGAAAATATAAAAGTCTATTTTTCATCACAGTACCTGGCAGTCAAAACATTCTGAAAAGGTTTATTGGGTTCACTTTGATTTTTTACAACCCAAGAAATGAACTTGGAAATGTGTGAACAATAGCTTAAAACTGCAAGCTGTCTGTTTCCAAACACCTCAGGATCAACAGGGTGTTGGAATGTCAAAAGTCATCCTGCCATTTCTATATTAAGTTTAAACTGTGATGTAGACGAGATGGTATAAAAGAATTACATAATAATATTACTAATGCTACTCAATGGGGTGAATCTGTCTCACTTTGATGAGGGATCATAGAGAAACCTAATCACCCTCTCTAATGATTTCCTTTCATTTTTGTTCATGTAGAATTAAGATAAGTATTAAACATGTTAGCAATAACTTAGTAAGAAACAGAAATGAGTTAGAAGCCCAGTCCTTTTCCTCAGAAAACTTCTAGTCTTGTTAGGGAGAAAAAAAATAGGTCTCAAATAAAAAACTAAAATTACCAATTATCTTGGGTTAAAATGGATGTAACAAGATCCTGCAGTCAAAATATAATCAAAGGGCCTGGCATGATGGCTCACGCCTTTAGTCTCAGTACTTGGGAGGCAGAGGCAGGCAGATCTCTATGAGATTAAAGCCAGCCTGGTCTACATAGAGAGCTTCAGGCCAGTTGGGGTCACAGAGAGATCCTATCAAAAAAGGAAAGAAAAGAAAAGAAAAGAAAGAAAAAAGAAAAGATAGATATCAGTTCAAGATTGGGTCCATTTATCTCCACATTCCCCCAAACAAGCCTGATCAATCTGTAACAGAACTTCAGACCCTTCTCATCAGATACAGGCTCATGCCAGTGACTATCCTGGTCCTGCTGTTGTCTCTTTAAGCAGGAGTCAAGAGCTCCAAAGTTCTTCCTCCTTTCCCATGCCCTGGGCACACCTCAGTAACCAGTTCCATGATGGAAATTCAGTGTGAATCTGGAAACTTATTAAAGGAAGGAGAGGAAGGGCTTTCACAGAAAGGAGTGGTAGAAAGAGACCAATTGTATCCTGTACAATTCCCAGCTTGTCTCTTGAATCCAGCTGACAGAGAGAGATAGAAGAACCCTATACAATAGAGATAAACAACAGGCAAACTCATTGAGTGAAAAACTGGCCCCTTCTCCCTGTTTCTAATCTGTACTGCAGTCTTCCCCTCCTCCCAGAACCCACCCCTTAACCTCACCCCATGAACAGAGGCTTCCTTGATCAGGGCCTATAGCCATTTAACATGGCCAAGATACTAGAGTAGCCGTGACTGGTACTAGGGATGGATGGGGACTCAATGGGTGGGTTCTAGGAGTAAAACAACAATCACCAGGAGGTGACAGACAAAGAAAAAGATATTTGCTTCCGGCCTCATCTTGATAGGACAAAGCCCTGCTATGATCCTATTTTTCCTATATGATATTAACACTTATATCACACTCAAGAGTTCAAAAGAGGCTCTACAGACACTGGAGACTGATAATCCAAGCCTGGTTGATAGTTAAGTCATGTGAACAGGGCTAACTAAAAAAGAACTAGCTTGTGTGGTGGCATACACCTTTAATCCTAGCACTCTGGAGGCAGAGGCAGATGGAACCCTATGAGATCAAGGCCAGTCTGGTCTATATAGTGAGTTCCAGGCTAGCTGGTGTTACAGGGAAGCCCTGTCTTAAAACAAACCAAAGAACGCAAGCTTCATCATTGGACAGATATTATTTTATTATTATTATTATTATTATTATTATTATTATTATTATTATTATGCTACTACTACTATCCAACAGCATCTGGACCACCTTATTTCCTATATTCCTTTTCAGGCACAGAGAAACACAGACACACAGACATACACACAAATATATATATATATATACATTAGGAGGCCAAAGTATAAGCTTGATTATTAAAGTCTATTTGTTACACATTGTCTCCACCTTGCCCAATCATGAGGAGATGAAGAACGATGTCACTAGAGACAAGAGTATTGTAAGTTACTATTTATAGATCAATCTACCACCAAATCTTCCTCTCTCCTGGATTACAATGTGAAACTGACCTGTAGAACCTTGTTATTTTTCTTGGGATGCCACTGACTCTTTTTCAGAGCCTTGCATGACAAAGAGATTTGAGGTCAGTGCAGAGGTATGAAATCACCCTTAGAACCATTTTGCAAAGGTTAAGGAAGGACTAATGAATTAGTTAATTGCTGAACCTTTGATGTCAGTTTGGCACTGAGCAGGGTCTGTGAGTGGGAAAGAATGAAAAACTGTTCACTGACCATGGCTTTTGAACATTCCTAATTGGGTTACTGCCTCAACTTGATCTTGTCTAGACCTGAAGATCTGTGGGAAGAGATGGTATTTCTATGTACTTTTCTTTCAAGACAAAAATAACTGTACCTGAGACATGATTTTCAAGGCTTTAACATGGTACACACACATACACACACACACACACACACACACACACACACACACACACACAAAAGTGGGGGAAAATATGTCATAGGCTTGGGTTAGACCTGAAGATGCTACTATTTCTATCCACTTCCCAGGGTTAAAGACATTACTACTCAGAGAGCTCTGAAGGAACGTTTTTAGGCTGTTGACTAGATTTCTTGGTCTTAGCTCAGGGCCAAAGTGAAGCCCTCTTCCCCAAGCAGGGCAAACGGCCCAGTCTCTCTGGCTTTTCAAGAGTTCCTCTGGGTAAGCAGAACCAAGATGAAAAGTAGGGTAGTAAAGGCTGCCCTTGATCATTTTTGTCAGTGGCTCTATAGTCAGTTAGCATGTTGGTCTAAATCTAATTTTTAACTCCTGACGACATTCTTGTGGTGCCACTCTGATAGGATTCAGACAGTCTTCAGGTACCTTGTAGAACTTGACCTCTTCTCTGCCTCCACATTTTTATGCCTGGTTTACATACACCAATTCACCACACCAGCCAAAGCCACACTCATCAGCAAATAACCATGCTTGGAGGAAAGCATCACAATCCAGTTACCAGGGTTACTGCCACTGTTCTCAGATAACAACAGGCTTGAGGAAGCCAATGTTTAGCTGTTTTGTGATGACATTGTTCTCTTGAGCAGAGATTAATCATTATGGGTCTTTTCTGACCCATTATTATTTCAAAGACTCATTTGGAGCATCTCCCTTACAAGCCTGAACAAAGTTTAATAAGCTATTACACTCCCCCCTAAACCTTTTGTTCAGAAGCCACTAAATTCAGTGCTCGTCTTCATTTCCAACCCTAAAAGATTCTGTGGTTGCAGTAACAAGCCACCTGTTTCTGGTGGTGATTAAGCAGACTTGTATGCATGATTAACATATTGTCACAAAATGAATTTTGCATTAAGGGTTGGCTCGGATAACTTTTTTGAATGAGAATCTCACTATGTTGTCTGGTTGACCTCTTCTGATCTTGGCCTCAAATTCTTGGGGTTCTATGATTACAGGCATGTGCTACTACACCTGGCTCCAGCTCAGTAAACTTCCAAAGTTCCTTCCCATCCCAGATTCTATGATATGACCTGTCCACTGCAATAGATATACAGCAATGTACTCTATTATCAGAAGCAATAGCACTTCACTGCCTTGCCAGAGATAGCTTTAATTCGCAAAGTATTTGAGGTACTGTGTTACTTAATGGTTGAAAACACAAGGGCTAGTCCATCATGTATACCTGGTCCATATATTGTTGCCCCAGTACGTATCCTCAATGATGTCCTAATCTCTGGTGATCTTCCTCTAGAGGAAATCATCCAGCCTCCGTTACAAAAAAATGTTCGTGTGATCACCTTATTTGTTCCTGTCTTTTCTTCAAGGCTTTTATCCCCCAAGGAAGTAAGATTTAGCGTCCTTCCTTACCTCCCCCTCTGTTTTGAATGAACAACTTACTCAATCTGCTGCCTATTCAATCTACTCAACCTACTCAATCACATTAGATAGGGTTCTTGGGTCCAGGACACGAACTGACCTTGCCCACATTGCTTCTTACCTTGTTACACTTAGTTGATCAAAGGTTTCTTAAGTAAACACACAAAGTGCACACAAAGAAAACCCAATATCCTTGGAAAGAAGCGTCAACCTTACACATGCATAATTTACAGTTGTTACAGAATTTGTCTGCATTGACAGAACATCATTATTACTTGATCTTCCACTCTGAAAGTAGACAAAACAGTTATTGCTAACCCTGTTTCTCAGATAATGAAACAGTGGCCTGCCCAATTTTGTAGAGTCCATTAGAGACAGATCTGAGACCCAAACCTGCTCTGACTCCTACTCTAGTCCCCTGCCCTGTTAACTATCCTACCTGTATATATGCTTCCAAGAGGTCTCTGAGTAACTTGAGATGAAACAACTTTAAGACTGATAACTGTTCAATGTAATTAAAAACATATTTCTGTGGATCTTGTCATAGCTTATTGGGTACTACAATCATGCCAAATACAGAGGGCAGTTGAGTCTCATTTTATTCAGGATGTATTCAAGTGCTATCTTTATTTTCCTAGAATGTGAGCAGTGTGTACATAGATCTACAGCATTTTATGTAGACAAAGATCTTTATGTACCACATACCTTATTCTGAATAAATGCTAGATACCAGAATTTCATTGCTTCCATCCTTCTTTGTGTGGCATATAACAGTCCTCAATTTAATATTAGCTCATAGATCCCAGAAGCCTCCTTGTTACAGCAGGGATTTGGACATCGTGACATTTGCTAGAAATGATTACATGTATAGGTGTGCTCAAATGCAAATGCAAACACACATGCAAACACACACACATAAAATCCATATCTATTCCCCATGTGAAAATAATTGTGGTATTTATTTTCATTTTCTGAACATGGAATGGCCTCTTTAGGCACTGTCACACCTAAGTCCAACTTCCCCTATTCCCCAACATCCTACTGATGCCAAAGAGGCTCCAAAGTTTGTATCAGGCAAGCAGTTATTTGGTACGCTGACGGTTAGCCAACACTCAAGTTGTCTCCAGAAGAACCAGGAGTTCCAGGTAACCTGGCCATAATAAGGGTCTTAGGATCAGGGAAAAGGAGAAAGAAAGAAGTGAAGGGAGAGGAAGCCACATGAGCACGTCCATTCTGTTGAGAATTCTCTCCAAGGATTTGTGGGATTTCACATGTGCTGCTGGAATTCATTGGTAATAAAGCATTAAGTTCAGTATAGCAAAGAAGGAGTTAACGCAATTAAATGCTAAGGTATTCATACAGAAAACAAGCACTCAAACACAGGTTATCTAAACCATTGGAAACCCCAAATCCCAAAGTTTGAAATTTTCTTGTGAATTCCTGTGCCTGTATGTTCGATGCTGAGGTTTGAAACTCACCCATGTCTTTGGGACTCTGACTCCAGTTGCAGCCGGCTGGCTAGTCTGCTTTGCAGCTGATTTTGTTCAGCTGGAAGGATCCTGGTCTCTCCAGTCTCCTTCTTCTGTCCTTTACTTTTTCCTCTCTGAGTATCTTTGTCCTCTTCTCCTGCAATGAAAAGGGCTTTCTGATTGACAGCCAACCCCCTTAAAGGGACAGGCTCACTTTCCTCCTCCTCTCCTCCTCCCCTTCTCCTCCCCTGTCCCCACCTTCTCAGGGATACTCCCATCTTTAAGGGCTCCATCTCTTCCTGCCTTTCTCTGCCAATTGTTTCATTTTTCTTTCTTCTTTTTCTCTAAGGCTTCTCTGGAATTTGATCTTGCAACAGAGACCTCTGGAAATGTGGATTGGTGGTAGAAATTAAATGGAGGGTTCCTGGAAACTCCCAACTGATCCTTGGGTCTGTTTAAAGTGTGTGAACCCATGGACACATTAGCTCTGATAAGGGACGTTTGGGTTACCAACTTACATGCTCTGTCCCAGAGTTCAACAAAATATGCCCTGGCCAACCCTCACTGCTGGCTGTGCTTGGCCCTGTCTACCTTTCCCCTCCCTCTGCTTGTTAGCGAAAAGCATTCCTCCCCCTCCTGGCTCTAGAACACAATAGAGCAGAAAAATTTGTCATTTAAAATAATTTCTTCAAAATCCTTCTTGTTTTCAGCAGAATAAGGACAAAATGCAAGCTGTTGATTTCGTGAACAGATTGTGACCAAACTGGGGGAGGCTGAAATTACAATGATTATATAGATAGATAACAGAGACCCAGAGGAGGACAAAACCTGTGCCAAGTTCACAGAATAGGCTGATGAGAAGGCTGGAGCTGAAGATGTGAATGATTTCCAAGGAGAACGGACTTTAAGGCAAGACAATAACACAGTCTATCAGGTAGTCAAAATTCCACCTACAAAGTGGAGTGTCCTCATTAGAAAGGGAAGACTGGGCTAAGGAAAAGCAAGGAGTGGTTGGGAGCAAAGAAGCTCATAATGGCAGTGTGAAGGGGTGTAAGAAGGAGAAAAAAGAAATATAGCCCTTGTCTCAGAGAAAGAAATACTATGAAAAAATTGTCAACTGGGCAAAAATGGGCAAATAATATATGTACCCCTGTATTGATAAGAGTGATTTCTAAAGACTGTGAAGTTATCTGAATGACTCATATAAGGTGACATTGGTTAGAGAAAGTTTTCTAGAACAAGTGAACCTTAAGCAGTACCTATGTGGGTTCCTTGTCAATGTTTTCCCTCCCTTTAGAAGCCTCAGACATCTATAACTCTCTTAGTCAAGAGGTAAGCATCTACATCTGGATGGCCTCTAGGGAAACTGGCTGATCTACAACAGGAGAAATGCTTGTTGCCTCTGGTATTCCTAAAAAGGAAGGTATGTCTTCATGAACATTTCCTATGATTTTACCTTGAAATATAAGAGGATAGAAGGGGAAAAACTGAGCAGAGCCTAAAATTTATTGTTGAGGAAGATAACAAAGAATGTGTCCTAAAGTTTTCTTTTGGGGTTGTGATTTTACACATTTGTGACTTGAGCTCTGTTAGTAGGAAATGTCTCAGTCCATTGGACTCCAGAGTCTTGTAGTGTGTGAGGCTTGCTCTAGAAGAAATCTTTTGCTCTTCTACAAGTAAAAGGCAAAAAGATCCTTGTATCTTCCATTAGAGAACAGTAAAGTATGAGCTTCCCAGGACTGGGCAAATTAAGGCCATATATGACTAATGGTAGAGAATCTTAGGGCCCCTGTCCTTCTAGGCCTGTTTTCTAGCCAAATACTCTGCCAGCCATGAAAGTGCCATTGTAGGATTATTATAAGAATAATCATCAAGGAGGAAAAACAAGAAGTTATAAATGTATGACTTGAGCTCATCAGATGGTACCAAAAAAACTGATCCTAAACTTTGGACATTTTGATGTAGGGCATGAGAGAGATCCTTCACAGCTCAAGTAGCCAAGGCAGATCTTTTTATAGAGGAAATGATTTAGATTGAGCCCTCTCACACGTCTTCCCCTGGATTCTCAGCAGCATCTCTGAGACTAACTGTACTACTTAGAAGAAAATGTTTCCCCAATAAACTCACAGATCTCAATTCATCTACGATATTCCCCAAAGGCATGTTTCCTCTTTCCCTTTCTGCCATCCCTGTTGTCTGACTATTCATTTTTTCCATTTTATCTCTGTTCTTTCTCCCTCCCTCCCAGTCCTTCTGTCCATCTGCCTCCCGCCCCCCGGCCTTGCCTTGCTCTGATACCAATGGCTGAGAAAGGAACTCAACCAGGTGATTATGTCACCCTCTTGCCAGTGCCCTAAGGTTTTCAGTTCTCTAGCATCTAGTGTGTTGCAGTAGCTCTGTAGATCCTGACAGTCTTCCTGGACACTTCCTCTACATCCTTCCCCTAAAGCCCTCCTTACAGTGCTCATAGTGCTCATATGGTTTTTTGAAGGTCCCCAGGAAGCCCCACCCAACCCAAACTCCATCCATTCTCACTTATTTTTGTGATTCTGCTTCTATTTGTTCTCCCTGGATGCGTTGGGCAAAATGTTCACCATTCCAGCAGGGCACCAGCAGTGCCCAGGAATTCCTCAAGAGGGCACTGCCAGCCTTTGTGGTTGCAGTCCACTGCCTGTTTTAGGTGTCTGTGAGAACAAAGCAGGATTGTATGAAACTTGTAAACAGTTTGCTTCATGCAATTCTAGTAGTACCATCAGAGAATCCGGGCCTCTTTGATCATAGCTTGGTTTGCTTGTTCAACTTTCTTCAATTAACTACAAAACGTGTGGATATTACCTCCATTTTCTCCTCTTTCATCCCATAGTACCAGATCCTTGAAGGCCACAGAGCAAGTAAGTTCTCTTTTCTTCACTTAACTTACAAATTCAGGAACGCTCAATGAATTTCTCCCTGCATACGAGATAAGCACACAGTACCCAATTTGGTGGTTCACTTCTTTATGTCCATGTACAAGATGGCAAAGGAAACAGAACGTACAGTACCAGTGAATGCCAGGGCCCACCCACTGACATTTGAGCTTCTAGCTGAGGCTTTGCTTCTTCTCCCCAAGACAATCTTGTCATCACAGACCAAATTTGGGAAATGGCTGCTTCTTACAGCTTTTCTAGTCCTGGAAGGCAGGCAGGCAGGCAGGGAAGCAAAGTATTATGTCCTGTGTACTTGCAGATAGAATGATCCACACCCAACTTTCTGCCAGTTGGCTTGGACCATGCTTTTCTGGCCAAGAGAACTGAGGGCCAGAGACGTCACATTCTTAGTGTGTTGCGAGTAGAGGGTGCCATTCTTCTTCTGTTGGTTATTCAAGAAGCAATGCAAGGATGGACAAGGTGACTGGCAAATTGTACATGTATTTGTGAGGGAGAGAGGCAAATGGCTTAGGATAAAGTAAAGAAAGTGCTTGGAAACCAAAATAATGACATGAATATATTCAAGAAAAGAGAGTACCTGAGAATACCAAACAGCCTATAGTGGTGTGGAGAAACCAGCTGTCCATGTAACCCACCTATTACCTTGAAAACTTGCTCAGCTTTGATAGGGTAGCCCCTATAGGGACAGTGAATATATTCCTCCTCTAACAACAGCAAAAATACAACTATTCTATTTGCCTGTCAGATACTCACCTATCTCTAGGGAACATTTTTTTCCATTTGACAAAAGGGATACAAAATAGTTTTCCCAGGGCCACCTAATAGGCAAAGGACAAAACTACCTTTAGAGAATACTTGTTTCCAGACTCATTGCTTGGAACTTGCTGGGACGATTGTTCTTCTCTGAAAGAATGTTTGAATAAAGAGCCTCTTCCCTGAACAAGAATAGCCATGGGGAGGATGGCCAGACATCAGGCTATCCTGGTCCAAGATTCCAACCCTTTATACTTTTCAAGAAAAAGTGTGAAACAAATTCATGGAATTAATAATTTTCATGTATCTTGAAGGATCAGTAAGAAATCAGTGGAAGTCAATAGAGACTACATGACAGAGAATATTTTTAATATATTTGTTGTGTGTGATAATACCAGGATTGATTTTTTTGTGATGCTAGGATTCCCAGGGCCTCATGTATACTAGGCAAGTACTCTGTCAACTAAGCTACATCTCCAACTATAGGCCTGTTTATGTTTTTAATTTTTATTTTTTTAAAAAATCCTCATATGTAAATATATATCCTGATATAACTGCAGGAGCCAGGAAAATGAAAAGGAACCAGGGAGATAAAGGGAGAGAATGAGCCTGAGAGAGAGGAACAGTAGGAGACAGGTGTTACTAAGGGGGAAATGGGTAAAATGGGGGTATTTAAATGGAAGGGGAAGAGAGAGGGTTATACAAGGAACTATGGGGGTAAAGGGGAAGAAGGAGTTCAAGAGAGGTGGGACCACAGGAGACAGGTATTATCAAGGGAGAAATGGGAAAAATGGGGGCACTTAACTGAGGAGGGAGGAGGGAGGGTTAGACAGTGAGAGAGAAAGAGAGAGAGAGAGAGAAAGAGAGAGAGAGAGAGAAGAGAGATAAATAATGCCTAGCTGGTATGAAAAGCCAGAGGGAATCATATTAGCAGAAAAATCTATTGAAAGACTACACATAAAATATCTCTACATGAGTTCATATGTATAGCTGAAGCCTATATAATGAGAAACAGTGCCAGCAGGAGAAACCACCCTTTGAGTTGTTGGTCACGGTAGTCCAAGAGACTCCCAAAATTATACAGGCTATTGCCATAACCCTTCATTTTATCCCAGAACTTGAAGTTAAGACCCTATTGCTGAAAACAAGACATAGTTCAAACACAGGACTTGGAACAACAGAGCTGGAACTGAACTGGAAGCCACCTCCTTGAAGACTAGCTCTCATGGTTTTGGGGAACTCTATGCCAGCTGCTAAGAGAGAACATCAGTCAAAGGCCCAACTCCAGCTTTACGGCATAATAACCACAACCATGCCCGGAACAGCAACTATATTTGGGGAGTAGTGGCACTTTTATCTTGGAGGTAAATCAACAGCTACCTAATTGGACCTGAAGCCCACTCAGTGGTAGGGAATTCGTGTGTGATACTGTAAACATAGCCAAATACACAAGGCTGGAGAAGTCATAGATCCCAGAGAAAACCCCAAGGATGTCACATCTCTAGACAGATGTAATTTCTTATTATGTGCTAAATATAGATCCTTATATTTACAGACAAGTATGCCAGTCACCACTCATCAAAGAAGTTTCTTTTACATCAGATGGAGACTATCACAGAGTTCCACAATTGGTCACACACAGAGATTAAGTGTCTATGAAATACCCAACCCTAATGAAACATCTACAATGGAACCTCTAAAACTAAGACTCATGGAACATAGTGGAACAAGGG